GCTCTCGCTTCCTAATAAATTATGTGACTGATCATCCTCTGCCAAGCGTAAAAGAATCCCTTTGTCTAATGCTGCGTTCACACCGGACGCAGCAGGAGTTTACATGCAAAGTCAATGGTTGACACGCGTCAAGGCGCAGCAAAAGGTCCTGCAGTGCGTTTTGAGCAGCAGGCGCAGCGCGTCTGAACAGCTGAAGCAGTGCGCCGGGCGCATTTAAGCATCTGACGTGCGTGACGCGCTGCTGCTCGAGATGGAAAAATTTTACTTTTGCTGCTCGACGCGCCGCGTCTACCAATCAGAGAAGCTGATCTGGGAGCTGGCAGAGAGACAGACACATCACTGATGATCAGAGTGCTGTGATCACTCCTCTGAAACAGTTTATTGACGCATAAATTAACTTAAAATGCAGAAATCTACCGACAGAATATGTTGGCTTTTATTATCCTGGTGCCTGCAGTTTAGATTATTTAGATGAAAAACACCTACCATCTGCCGCGGTGAATCGCGAGGAGGCGACCCAGCCAGAGGCTGCTGTTGAATGGGATCCTACTGACAGAGCACAGCTGGTATGTGGGGGTCTGAGCAGCTCTGACAGAAATAATATTGGAAGGCAGGATTGTAATCTAGATGAACTGACTGCACTGATTAAGTTTTCAGGTGGATTTTCTCACTTTAAAACATATTAAAGCTACTTTATTCCCCATCGCACGTCAGACCCACTTTTGCACCACGCAGCCAGAGCAGCAAAGCTGCTTCAGCCGTGCGTCAGAACTAACTGGTACAAGCAGCAAAAATGAAGCAGCAGGCGCAATTTTGCTGCTTTTGCTGCGTCCGGTGTGAACGTAGCATAACTATCAAGATTTTATTTCTTCCAGTTCACAAGAGGTTATACTAAACATTCTTTCATTTCTATCAAAAGAAATCCCTAAATTATATCCAAGGAAAATATTTCATTGCATACTGTTTATTTTTGGATAAAGAACCAGGTGAAAAGGTACATAGATTACTAAATATTTCTCTCTCATTTTTCTCATTTCTATCTATTTAAATATGATGTAAAGGTTTCCTTATATTGTCATTAAAAAATTTTTTATGTTTCCTTTGAATATGTCAACATTTTAGTTAGCATATTCATTCTGTTTAGGTCTGAATTGCCATGGTATTACAAGGATATTATGTAGGTTCTCTCTGTATTTTTTTTTATATCAAAATCCTGTCAAATTTAAATCTATTTAGACCCCTGAGCAGAGGTAACAAAAAGAGAAATTCTCAGAAATCCAGCCAAAACTGCCAAAGCGGAAAGAAGAATGTTTTTGTTCTTTGCTTTTTTTGGAGCAATGAAGATTTTATGGATCTGTGTGTAATGCATGATTCATGGTAGATCAGGAAGTGTTTGCTTTATGATGGAAACTTTGTATTTCTAAAACCATTCCTTTATTATACACTTCTTTATCTTATCTGTCTGCTATATTAACCAGCATGATGTGCTGAACTAGATCTGCTATTTTCACAGCTTTTGTGAGACACTTTTCTATAAGTTGGGCATTTATTCACAAAAAAGTTTATTTGAATTCTATAAATCAAAGTTTTATGCTCAACAGCAACGATGAACTGCTCTGCAGCAACTTTTTTTTGCTAAATAAAACTAGACTAAAACCTTTTTAAATTTTAGTCGACTTAAACCGATTAAAACTATCACATATTGTAATGACTAATATGTGACTAAGACTAATAATAGTTTTCGTCCTGAAGACTTAAAAGTAAATCTATATTTATAAGAGTAATTATAATCATAAGACTAAATCTAAGATGGCTGTCAAAAACAACGCTGACTCTGAGGAAACAGGCAAAGATGGATTTCTGTCATCAGCAGACATACTCTGATTACGCTGCTGTCCGTTTTATCCATGTTGTGGAAAAAATCTCCTCCTATATGTAAATAAAACAACAGAGATGATTGTAAGTTTGCAAAGAAATAGGAACTGGTCAAACACTATACTACCATCATGAAGAGGATGTTGCTGTGGTGGACCATAAATAACTTGGTTAGATGCTACTAAACTGGGATCTAAGTATGAAGCCGTCAACAAGATTCGACACAGCAGCCTGAACCTCTTAAGGAAGCTTAGATCATTTATTGTTTGCAACAAGATGCTGCAGATCTTTGTGTTGTGGAAAGTGATCTCTTCTGCCATCATCAGGAATGGTAAAACCATCAGAACAAATGGTTCTGTTCTGGGAAACCCCTCTAGAACTTCTAGAGATGATTTAATAAGATTTTTCACAAAATACAGAACATGGTGGACATCCCTCAGTGTCTCATTAAGAAGCTTCTTTAGATCCGCTGTAAAACAGACCAAAATAGGATCATCTTCCTACCTACTCCCATTATTTTCCTGCAACAACTTTTTGATAAAACTTCTATAATATAAATAAGACTAATACTTATTTTCCTTTTGGGATTAACAAAGTATTTCTGAATTAAACTGATGTGAAATAATGCTGTTCTCCAGCAGAGGGGGCTGCAGGACAACATGTGGCAGCAGATTCCTCTTGTTCCTCCAGCAGTTCTTTCATTACTACACATTAAACACAGCAGCAGTCTGGTCTGAACAGCAGTACAGATGTTAAGTTTTTCCCTGCTGCCTTTATTTCTCCGAGGTAATATTCCACGACCTGATAACTCATTTGTTTTTATAGACCTGTTCATTAGTCATCTATAGTAAAATATATTTATATTTTTACTTTACACAGCAGTCAGATTATATTCTAATAGTAAGACTAAATTCTAATTGTATGAATATTTAAACAATGTCATTTATAGCTATAACCGCCTATAAAACAAACTCCAAACATTTTTTTAGTTAATGTCCTATTTTTTGTATATATAATGTAATTGCAGTGAAGGTGGTAAACTCAGCTTGTTCACTTCTGTGCTAAATCTTGCAAACAAGACAAGCAGAAAGCAGCAGCTCAGCTCACCAGTCAGAAACACTGCATCTTGAAAAAGAAAAAAAAAGTTAAAAGCATGCAAAGATATTTACCTGGTTATATTTTCGTTTTACATGTTTTTCTTAGGTGGGGTCTTTTTAAAATACAAATATTCAACATGCCTCACAGAAAGTTTGGTCTTTTCCAAACTGAGGTAGCAGTAAACACCAATTTTAAGGTTTTCATGTTTGTTTAGCGCTGAGGAATTTCTGCCCTACGTCACACATAAAGCAGAGAACCCAGTGAATGAAATAAATACTACACAAGGAAGACTACTTTAGGAAGATTGTTCTCTGTGATGTTTGCAAACCAGATCAAATCCAGACATTTAAATCCGGTGCTGTAAATCCACCAGCAATGAAAACACTCAGGGACATTTATAAAGACCTTATTCTTTTTTAATTTTAGCAGCAATAATTTGTTTCAGTGACCTTTTACAGGAAAGGTTCTTTATAAATGTAAGACATGTAGAAAAAAAGGCAAGAAAGTAATTTCAGGTAACTACTTAATAGCAACATCCTTTACTATCCTTGTTGGTATTTATATGTATGGTGCACTGCATGTCACCGATTGTTACTGGGGATCACTCTACCTCTTTAATTTATCTTAAGTTTAAGGATTTAACATTATTTTACATAAATGTATATTTTCAGGATCCGAGTAGAAAAAAAAAAGTATAAATAAAATGCTTTATAATCTAGTACAGAAAAATCAGATAGATAAAGCTAGCCAATACAAGCATGTTCTAGACAAAATGTACCAGATGGCCCAGGGTTGGGTTGGCATTTATTTTATTATTATTATTATTATTTTTTTTTTTTATGAGGGCACAGAAAAAGAAAAATAAACATGAAAAAACATAAAACCAAGGTCGCAGACCCCAGCATGTGAAAACAGTGACCCTATTTAAATATGGCAGCTTAAAGCTGACTGTGATTTCTTAAAAAATGTTGAAATAATAAACTGGTTATAGGGATGAATCAGTTACATTCTCTTCTGTTGGTTTATATGACATTGATTTGGAATTACACAGCAAAGACTGATCTAAATATGTAAAAATTGTATCAAAAATGGTATTGTGCACTTGCCTTTAATTCAAGATAACATGATCCATCAAATGAATAAATACTTTTGCTCATAAAATGATTTAGTAATGATGCACTTGATAAGAATATTGGAGTTCTTATTTTGAACATGGATCATTTTATTCAATTGGTAAAACAAATCAAGGGAAAATACATTTATTTCAGGAAAATTTTATTTAGATGAACATTTTTGTTCTATTTGTTTTAATATGGGGGGCGGGACTATGGAGGACTAAAACACAGCCCTTCCTCATTTGCATAATGAGGCAGAAATGCAGACAGAAATGTAAACACGACAGGCAGAAATAAATAGCATTGAAGAAATAAATAGGGTAAAAACATACAAAGGAAAAATAAACAGACAAAAATATAATAAAAAATATAACAGATAAAAGCTGATAAATAAACACTTAGAAATGAGTAATTAATAATTAAAGTTGAAGATTATAACCATCAATAAATAAAAACAGTACTTATTACAAAGGCAAATAATTAAAGAAGCTAATTAAAAGGGATGTGTTCTGTATAATTTCATTTCTACCTACATTTATCTGTTTATTGTATTTGGGGGGGGGGGCAATTAATTGTATGCTGATTTATTTTTGGAGCATTTATTTATTTCTGTATTTATTTTTAAATATGGCAGAGTTGGTCCTCCATACAGGACCTGAAGGGACGTTGGCCCCTGATTGCTCCTGTCTAGAACTGCCTTCGCATTAAACATTTCATTTCAAATTCCCAACATAATAAGTGACATAAACTCAAATATTGCGCTATTGGTAAACAATAAAGAAAAAAAAGCACAAGAGCAGCAGCATTTAAACAAAACAAAAAAACGAGGGGATTGTTATTTCATGTGATCTGTCGCCCCCATCAGGCGGAAAGCGGTAGTGCTACAATCGGCCACAATAGGCGGTGGGAGTGGACAAACCTGAGACGAGCCGGCGGTGTGACTTCACCGCGATCAGTCTGCTTTGGGCTGATACCGTCCTCTGTCCGCCACACCGAGCTGAACCCGGAGCCGCTCCCCGGAGGAAGGATGTATTGATCCGTCCGGCTGCAGAGAGCTTCTCCAGCTGATCCCTCCATGCGTCAGCTCTGGGAATGGATCAGGAATCCGCTGCGGCCAGTTTGATCTCTCTGACTGAACATGAGCAGAGGTTTTTCTCAGGTCTCCTCGCTCTGTGCCAGGCTGACGCTCCGGGAAAACTGTCGCCCAGCAAAGTGGCGGAGCTGTTCAAGGCGTCTCAGCTGCCTGCAGAATCCCTGCATAAAGTGAGTGATCACATGTTTCTGATGAGGTGAGAGAGGCTGCGGCTGCAGCCTGCGCCCCAAAGCTGACCTCCTCTATTATAAGACAACAAACATCAATGGTTTATAGGTAACGCTCCTGCTAACATGCATCATGTTATCATATCCATCTGGTTGGATGCCTCCTTACTATCATCAGCATCTCCTCTGAGTAGCAGTCAGGTGTTCAGGCCCTTTTATTTGCTTTTATCTGTGATGATTAGAGGATTTCCAGCTCGTGCGAAGCTCTGGAGTAAAGATGCTTTTGTCATCAGCTGTTGATAAAAGACCAAATGTTGGAGGATCCATCACTTCCTGCTGTTTGCTGACCTGCAGTTGTGTTAACATCTACTTCTGTTAAGGTGAAGTGAACCATCACGATGATCATCAGTCATAAATATCATTTTTTAGTTCTTTTCTTGTTTATGATTGACAGGAATCACTAGACTGATGTTCACAGTGATAAATTAAACCAAAATAAAGATTTAAACATGTTACATAGGGGTTAGATTCATTTTCAAAGCTTGTGTCTCCTTCCAAGCACCAACCTTAGTGTATTTTAGAGCAATCGTTAGGTCAGTTATAGCTAAAAGCTTGACGCCTTTGACTATTTTACTCTTAAATGTAGTAGAAAGGTTGGATCTGAGTTTCTTTTTTTATTCTTGCCACAGATTCTTTATTTGATATTGTTCTGGGCTTTGACTAGGCCATTCTGACATATGAATATGATCATATATGAACCACTGTCCAACTGGAAAGGGAAAGTATGCCCAAGTCTATTCTGCCTCTAACAGTTGTTTTCCTATCAACTCTGACCAGCTGGTCCCTACTTGAAAGATGATCCCCACAGCATGACGCTGCCAAGCTGTGTTTAGACAGATAGTGTTTTCACTTGTTTTGTCCTCATCTGAGACCAGCATGTTCTGCATGTTTACTGTGTCCTATATGAGATGGAGCGGTCAGGTCTTCTTATGGCTTTATCTAAAACGATGAAACCGTAGGAATGCTGCTGCAACCTACTGTCTCCTCAGTTCTAGGCTTTATTTTTATTTCTTTAAAAAAAAAAGAGAGAAAAACTTGCTCTGAGAAGTACGGAAGAGGATTAGGGCCACTGGAAAAAAAAAAAAATAAACTGATTTTTAAATTTTATTTCAGTTTAACATGGGGAAAAAAGTCAGAATTCTGAGATTAAAGTCAGAATTCTGACTTTAATCTCAGAATTCTTAGAAAAAAGTCAGAATTCT